CAAGGAGTCTATAACTATTGGTACTACCTTTGCTTTCTTTTGCCAGGGTCATTCTATTTATATTTGCAGGTCGTTGTATTATTACCTTCTCCAGTTCCTTCTCTACTGTTCTGCTGTCTCCAATTACTACCACATGCTCTATCCAGATATTTTTGCCTTTCTTATTGACAGCTGTTAAGTGTGGGGTCTTATGTGGCAAGTCAGAATGGTACAACTAGACACTACTAGCTTGACATAGCCAGCTGGGGGTGGCCTTCTTGCTACTGTTATGTCCCCTCTGCCAACTCGCTGCTGCCATTTCTTTGCAGGATGGAAATTTGCTGTGGGGATAACTTGCTGCAGGCACTGGATGGAGACCTGGGTGAGTGAGTGGGGGTGTCAGAGGGCGGTGTCAAGGGGCAGGGTGCTGGATAGAAAGCCGGGTGGATGGGTGAGCAAATGGGGTGTCAGGGTGGCGGCGGTAGGTTGGCTTGGCCCAAACACCGAACCGGCAGTTTGGCTGCAGTGAGAGATGGAGCGGAGGGCAGAAATGCAGCAGCAGGTGGGGGCTTCCTAGTTTGACACCCCCTGCCATTGCCTCCGCATCTTGGGCTGTGCCAGATGGGAAGCGAGGGAGCAGGTTAACAGAAGGCAAAGTGGCGGCGTCACTGGGCAGGGCACTTTCAATTTTCACCCCCACACTACTGACATTGCCTTTGGCCTTGGCTCCCGACCAAATGGCAAATGAGCGGTTCAGCTGTGGTGGTATGCAGAGTAAATTTCTTTTAAAGGGCAGCCACTGCAACTTTGCAAATTTTTGCACAATTTTTTTTAAGTGCCCTGGCTCTGCATTTTAAATGCCGCCACAACTCTACAAGGAAAATTTTTTTGCAAAACAGTGGCGGTGAGGATTTAAAAGAAATTCAGACCTGCGGCACTTTAAAAAAACAATTGTGCAAAAAAAACATTGGACAGTTATGGTGGCAGTGCTTTAAAAGAAACCTGCCCTGCACACTACTACAACTGAACTGCCCATTCAACATCCAGTCTGAAGCCAAGGCCCAGAGGCAACAGTGGTAGTGAGGGAGTCAAAAATGGGACACTCTACCCTCTGTCAGCCTGCTCACTTGCTTCCCATCTGGCACAGCCCAAGGCGAGGAGGCAATGGCGGTGGTGTCAAAATAGGAAGCCCCTGCCTGTCGCTGCTTCCCTTCCTTCTGCTCCACCCCCCACTGCAGCCAAACTGCCAGTTTGGTGTTCAGGCTGAGCCAACCTACCACCACTGCCCTCTGACATTCCGCTCGCTTGCCAACCTGCCCAGCTCTCCAGCATCCTGCCCCTTGCCACCCTCCTCCGATAGTCCGCTCACCTGCTTGCCCTCCATCCGGCACACGCAGCAAGATATCCCCGCAGCAAATTTCCAGTGTTGAGATGTTTTGTGAAGAAATTGCAGCGAGTTGACCGAGGTGACTTGGGTGGAGGAAAGAAGGCTGCATCGAACTAGCGGCATCAGGTTGTCATAGCTTCTTTGCATAGGCAGCACTTATTCTATTGTGGTCTTCTCAATTCTGGCTTTGTATGCATTTGTCCTTAAGGCTTGGTCGTGTAGCCAGAATTTGTCTCTGTTCAACTTTCCTGCTCTTAGCCATTGCCAGGTCTTGTTATTATCTGCTTTTCCCACTATTTTTTTTAGTGTGCTGGCCATATACTTTTTGGTCTTCCAATACCTCAATTCTGTTCTTCTTTTGGTCTTTCTTGTAAGCTAGTTTAGTCTCTCCAGGGTTCAGTAGGCCTTGAAGACTATTAAAGAATATTTTTAAAAACCAGGAAAGGAATACAAGGTTAGGTTGAATGGGGCTGAATGAATAATGCGTTTGCTGGTTTTTTGCTAAGAAAGAATGATTGATGTATTTGGATTTTATCTTTTTTATATGTATGAACTGAGGTATGGGGAGAAGAGACATTATGATGTATTTAGAGATAGTGATAATTTATTAAAAGTATCCTTACTTATTGGAATGAGGGATAATTTTTTTCTTTTTCTTTTCTTTATTCTTTTTCATACTTTTTTCCTTTGATAATTTATGTTTATATTTTTGTAATTTGTATTGATCTTTGTGAGAGGACAGGCTGCCTATAAAATGGTCAGCATCTGTATTGCTGTTGTCATGTCTTCCTAGCCTGCACAGCAACTGTTGACTATTAAAACTAAGCAGAGAGGCAGCTTGATGGGGTAGTGTTGATATGTTAAAAAAAATAACAGAATAATAGAGTAGGAAGAGACCTTGGAGGTCTTCTAGTCCAACCCCCTGCTCAAGCAGGAAACCCTATACCAGAGGTCCCCAACCTTTTGGGCACCAGGGACCAGTTCCGTGGAGAAAGATTTTTCCACGGACCAGAGAGTGCATGGTTTTATGTGCTGCCTGCATCCCACGGATGGGGCTTTGCTTGTTTGTGCGGACCAGTTGCTGACATGCTGAGGCCCACTATTGGTCCACAGACCGGGGGTTGGGGAGCCCTGTCCTATACCATTTCAGACAAATGGTTGTCTAATCTCTTCTTAAAAACCTCCAATATTGGAGCACCCACAAGTCGTTCTATTGATTAATTGTTCTAACTGTCAGAAAATCTCTCCTTAGTTCTAGGTTGCTTCTCTCCTTGATTAGTTTCCATCCATTGCTTCTTGTCCTGCCTTCTGGTGCTTTGGAGAATAGGTTGACACCCTCTTCTTTGTGACAGCCCCTTAGATCAGGGGTATCAAACTGCCGGCCCACTGGCCGGATGCATCATGCGGAAACCGCACCCATCCCATTGCCGGCAATGGTAAAACTGTCCAGATATGTTGCGCGATGTCACGTGATATCGTGAGTTTGACATGTCTGCCTTAGATTATTGGAACACTGCTATCATGTCACCCCTAGTCCTTCTTTTCATTATACTAGACATACCCAATTCCTGCAACAGTTCTTCGTATGTTTTAGCATCCAGTCCCCTAATCAACTTGGTTGCTGCCCTAAAGATACTGAAATTTTCTGAAGCAGACTAAAGCAGATAGAAAAAAAATACTGTGTTGTAGCAGTAGGTCTCACAAGGAATAGTAGTTGGAGGAATAATAGGACGTATAAGTAAAAGTAGGAAATAATGGAGTAATGAGCAGTGATACTAGCCTTGGAGTGCTTGTGTTCTGTCCCAGCCTACACGAGTACTACTCAACCGCTTACTTGCAAGGAAAACCCCTTTTCATTGAACAAGGCAGGACTTTGTAAGAAAAAACACCTTTTATTTTGACACAGCTTTTATGGAACAAACTCCAACCCGTCCTTTAGCTGTTGAAACGAACAAGATCAGTCTCTGAGTTCTCAGCTGGAATGCTCAAGGTTCAAGTCACTCAAACACACAGAAATCTGACAATCCTGGTTAATGTCCAAGATCCTAAGGCAAGAAATCCAACAACAGGATGAAGCCGTAGCATGAAAAGTTGCCTTCGGCAACCAGCACCTCCCATACCTCTCCTCTTATAGTCTAGCCAGGGCATGGTTTGTGCATCCGGGACTGGCCCCAGCTGTTCCTCCTCGTCACTTAGTTCAGGCCCCCAAAACAGCTGTGTCTTTGCCTGAGCGTAAGTAGATGGGCCAGGCTCCATGTCTGGCTCTGAGTCTTCTTGCTCCTCAGAGCCTTCTGCAGACTCCAATGCGAACCCAGGCACCACCTCATCATCATCTGTTTCCTTGGATTCGGCTGCTGGATCTGCTGGCAGGCAAGGAATCACAACAGCTTGTGTGTATGTTGCCTAGGTATCTGTGTTTTGAAACCCACTGACTTGGGTATGCCTAAAAGAATCCATGAATGGTCTTATTCTTTTTATTTATAATTCTTAAAAAAATTATTTGAAAAAATGTATCTAGACTATTGTTTTGATATGTAGGGCTATCATAGAATTCTTTCTAGAATGACTTGTTTACAAAATATTTTAGCTGTTAAACATATCTAATAGGGCAGCTGCTCTGTAGCTAAATATTGGTTGGCTTTAATTCATAGGTAGGGTATGAGCCAGGATATTGAAGACCCAAGCTAACAAAATTGCCCTCATTTCTTCTAACTATAAAACATATGACCAGTTTGGGATGATAATGAATTTAAGCTAGGTCCATATGCCACAAATCCAGTTGAGTAGTGATATCTAGTAAATTGATAATAACATCAGTTGCCTTTGCATGTAACCCCTTACATTTAATAATTATAATAATCTTACAAATTCAATTGTTAATATTTTTAATTTTTTTCAGATCTTGTGCATCATGAAAATATGAATGACATCAGATAATTTTTTGAAATGTTTTCAGTTTGGCTTTCCTTCCTTCCTTTCTTCCTTCCTCCCTCCTTCCCTTTCTCTTTCCCTCCCTCCCTCCCTGATATGTTTGATTGAAGAAGCTATTTTATTCAGACTGAATTAAAAATATTTGTCTGAGATACTATTATGTGTACAGTAAATATGTGCAGATCTTCTATGGAAAGTATTTGTTTCTGAATATTATGCCCAGTGTCTGATTCATAGTAACACAAGCATATTCAATAACCTAGGATAAAAAAATTGTGAATGCCATATAATAATACTGGTAAAGCTTTCCTCTAATTAAATTGCTTCATGCTAGTTGTGGAATTTGTAGAGTTGAAATCCCACATCTTAGCTAAGTTTGAAAAACACTGGTTTAGAATAATACAGAACATTCTGGAGTAATTTGGGGGGAAAGCCATGAAGTAATGTCAGAGAAATAAGTTCAGCATTGCACTGTCCTCTTAGGACATAGGCTCTCTGATACCATTTTTGGACTTTATTTTTGTATTTGTCCTTTTAAAAGAAAAACAGCTTGGGAAGATAAACATTTATCAGTTCCATAAATGTAGAATATTATACTTGAAGATGTTATATCCCCTGATTTGTGGCTACATCAGATGGTATAATTTATTAATATAATAATTTAATCTGATCTAAACATTTTTTATTTCAGTGGCCCGCTTTGTAGTAATGAAATCTCTAGAGGAGAATGGAATCCATTTAATATGGATGATTCTGATTCAGGTAACTTGTCAAAGTTAATATTTATGTTCTGCTTCTTTTTCTGTGTAGGTTTGGATACTACTGTGGTTCACCCAAATTGTTAAGACATTGTGTGGTTTCATATGGGGTGTGATCTGTGCATTACTATTATATTGTGGGAAGTCAGCCCCCCCCATCCAGAAAGAAATATTTTTGGGAATATTAAAAAGCAGAATATTATATTTTTCCAAAGGATCTTAAAGCAGAAACCCCTCCCCCCAAGTCTCTGCCCCAAACAGAAACCAGGTCTGCTGAAATGCAGATGTGATAATCTTGTCAGAAAGATTAATGTTAATGTTAATGTTAATTTAATTTGTATACCGCCCTTCTCCCATAGGACTCAGGGCGGTTCACAGCATATTAAAAAACAAATACTATACACAAAATACAAAAATACAGAAATACAAAAATATAAACCCCAATAAAAGCCGAATTAAAAACCAAATATTGCCAGCTGTGTTTCCGATTAAAATTACTTTTA